GTTAAACTTGAAATATTTTTATAAAGCAATAGTTATCACAAAGTTTATATTAGAAAATAAAGCTTGTTTTTTGGTACATAACACTTTTATCAATTTTTTAATAATATAAACTAATGCATTATGGTGGATTAAGGGGTAATGTACATTTGATCGTTAAAAAATCTATAAAAAACATGATTACTTAAACTTTCTTCTTATAACAAGGAAACAATATTCACATATGATTTTGTTTACCAAAAACAAATTGGAAAAAGTACCAACAAATTATATTAAAATGCTTATAACTCCAAATATAGGTTAATGCACATGACACTTTTATCCACTCACCCCAAATTTCTGTTGTTTTGAAAATAAATCATTGATCATGTTTGCATGAAACTAATTATGACAAAATTGTTTTGGTCGATAAGTCCGAATTAAAGTGATAAAATCGAACTAAAACTGTGTTTTCTCATTTGAAACCAGTAAACACAAAACAAGAAAAATATCTTCGTATTAAAAATAACATATCGGTGCAATAAAACCAAATTGATCAATTTAATACAATATGTGGAACGATTTTTGCCCAAAAACTCTTTCAATCGAGTCGAAAAATGAGGCAAAATATCACAATTGGGTTATTTTTACTCCATTTGGGTCACAAAACCAAAGAAAAAAACTTCGAATGTTTGATTGAGAAATTCACCGAATTTGGGGAAACTGCAATTATCGACGTTTCCCAAAATTTTGAAAATCCCATTGAGACAATTTTCACAAATCGTGATTTGTCATTTGTGACCTTAAATTCGTCCAAATTGTCACAATCTGTGCCCAAAAACGGGAAACAAGTCTTTGTTTTAGGTTTCAAGACTTTGGGGGAGTTAGAAATCACAATTGCAAAACTCAAAATTTTGGAATTTTGGAACCCACGATCGAAATTTTTGATCGTGAGTAATGAAACTCTGGTGGTAGAAAAAATATTCCGACTATTGTGGTCTTTCAACATTTACAAAATTGTGGTTTTTGGGGGTCAAACGTACTTGTGGTACCCTTACTACCAAAATTTGACCATTGGTACCACTTGTAATGCAAGTTTGCAAAATTTGGGTACCATCCCTCGTGTTTTTGTCCCTAAACCGTTAAAAGTCCGGGTTGTGGTTTTTGTCCCATATGTTATAACCCCCCAATTTGGGAGTGACATTACCATAATCAACGAATTGGGGAAAATCCTCCAAACTAAGGTTCTGCTCACCCATAGTACCACTCCGTTTGATTTTGGTACCAGTTACCCCAACCACACTGTAACCGGAATGTTTGGGGAAGTGTACCACGGGAGGGTTGATTTAGCCCTTGGTGGTTTCATCCTCCAACCCGACCGTTTCACCCTCCTCGACTCCTCCTACCCCTACTCCAACGAAATCTACTCCTGGTGTGTCCCCCAAGCCCGGAGGATCATCTCCTGGAGGCAAGTTTTCACCACTTTGCGTCCTCAAACCTGGCTTTTGATCCTCGTGGTGTTCCTCCAAGTCACTCTAATCACCCTCAAAATTGAAAATCGAGGTTTGCCCACTTGGATTTTCACAAATTTTGCCATTTTGCTCGGAATTTCGGTCAAAATCCGGTCAAAAAGCCACTTTGTCCTGTTTTGGACCCTAATTTGCCTCATTTTGACCATTATTTACCAAACTGAATTCATTAGTTTGATGCAGAGAGGAATTGAGGAGCCTCAAATCGACTCMATGGASGCTYTACATGCCTCAAACCTCGAAATCCAAATCAAACACTCGAGTTACTCCCTTTTTGGGGACAGCAAGGCTTTGAGGAGGTTCCTCAAAAGCAACACCAAGTGCGAAAATCCGGTTAATTGCATCAAAAAAGTGGCTTTTGAGCRAAACGCAGCCTTCTTCGCGTCGAATTCTTTCATCGGTTTTATGAAAAATCGACTATTTGGTGAGAAAAATCAACCCTTGATTCACTGTTTTGAGGGGGGGATCAATTTCTCGCYCATTTTTCTCGCAATGAGACGTGATTTTATTTTGCGAGACTTTATTGATGGGATTTTGAGACGTTTTGTTGAAGCTGGTTTGGTGGATTTTTGGAAAAAAGARACTTTTCTTGAAAGGGAGTTTGTCGGAGATGGGGAGGAATTTAAAAGTTTGGATTTGAAATTTTTTGAAGCTCCGTTTTTTTGCTGGATTTTCGGGGTTGCTATTTCAGGGGGTGTTTTTGTAACGGAAATTTTGATACAAATTGTTACAAGATAC